TTAGATTACCCGCATTGGGGGTTACATTTCTGCACATGGCATGTTTTTAAGGGGTTCTTCATACTTCCAAGTGACCCTTCAGAGAGTTTTTCAACCAGTCCTGGTCTCACCAACAAGTGTCTGTCTCAGTTCATCCTGAACCTCATAGACTACGATTCTGTATTTATTAAAGGAGTGAGGGGTTGAAATGTGCTCTCTCCACTTTCTATGTGACGGAGATGATGGAGGAGACAAGACACCCCCAAAAAACCCCCACTTGCTCTACCCTCCTGTGCCCCCTGGAGGAAAGTAGGGTGCAAATACCCATTTAGACTCCTCATCAGGGCCCTTGCCTGAAGATATAGTTGACATAATAACTAATTAGCCTTAATGATAAGGAGCCCAGGCTCCTTGTCTTCTGGCCCAGAGGTTTCTCCAATCACTTTTCACTTTCAAAGCCTTTCACGGCACCCTACCACCCCTAAGAAGAGCTCATCACTGGCCCCTTGGGTAATCTTCAGGGTGTGAACGGCCCTGTGGTTTTATCAAGGATTTTTGTACTGACTGTCCAATGCTCACAACAGTCTTGGGGGGAAATACTCATTTCCCAATTTTATAGGTGTGTTAGCTTCCTAGGCTGCATGAAAAAAAACAATTACTACAGAATTGGACCAAAGTCCAAAACCCAGGTATCGTAGGACCCGCCCCCACCCTTGAAGGCCCAGGAGAACATCCTTCCTTTTTGCTCCCAGCTTCTAGTGGCTCCCGGAGTCTTTGGCAGCAAAACTCTGCTTCTCTGTCTGACCTCTGTGTTTCTGACCTTACTCTCCTCTTTCATAATGAGCCCATTGGATCCAGGGCCCACCTAAACCCAGGATGATCTCATCTCAAGATCTTAATGACTGTTGAAGACCATACTTCCAACTTTGGCCACCCTTTGAGACCCTGGGTGGGCTTATCTTTGGGAAATGCCATTCAGCAATCACAGTGGTTAGGAAATGGATGACCTGAGAGGTTAGATGACTTCGCCAAGGTCAGAAAGTGAGAGTGGAACAGCTGGCATCTGAACTACCACATGATGACCTCATCACTCCGACTTTTCCAACAGGAGCTAAGAAATGTCTTTGTCTTCCTGGTATCATTCTGTTCTCTTTGCTCAGTTCGGTCCCTAAGTGGAGTCGCGGCCCCTTTTAAAGTGAGCCAGCCTCACGAACCCCGTAACAAAACGGGTGACAGCGGAACCGTGTTAGCGTGGTGAGTATTAGCTCCCCAAATCATAAAGGACCGTCGAGGGCAGAGGCTCTTTGTGGCTCTGGACCAGCGGGTGGATGTGGGATGGTGCTTATTGTGGGAACCACCGCCAAGCATTGAGAGAGAGAGATGGGGTCCTCAGATCTTCTCAGCCTACCTGCCCTTCCACCGTGAACACACTGCGTGGCATGACCTGGTACATACTCGGGGAAAGGCCTGTGGTGTGAAGTGAAGCTAATGTCCTCATCCTGTGCTCGTGCGAACCAACCTGTAGTGTAGAGACAGGTGCTCTCCTGCCATACATTCCAGGGGTGGTCTTCTTCCCGCCTGGGATCCTTTCTTAGTTATCATGGACATCATCGTTATCATGAGTTCTCATTCAGCAGAGCCGACTTCCTCATCAGCACTGTTCACTGACAGGTTTGCTGTTGGTACCTGGTCTCCCATGTGGCCAGAAATCTGATCAACAGGCTTTTAGCAGAGTTCTAAATCTACTTGATGCAAAATGGAGGCTGTGCCAACGGTCTCATAAAGAGCAAGGTGTGATTAGACACTTATCAGTTTGGAAGAGCATCCCTCCTATTCCACTCCACTTCCACTCCCTGGGCTTCCATGCCCCCTAACAATGGCATACAAAAGGCAGAGCACGTGTTCCTCCAGGCCCCCCAGCCCCCACCCCGGAGCTGCCAGCTTACCAGCTGTCACAGCATGCCTTTAATGGGTTTGTGAAACCCAAGGACCTGACCCATCTCTCCCCTGGGGAGAGAGTGTAATTCAGGATGCCAAGCTGAGAAGCAGGAGTCTCTCGCAACTTTATGAGGCCAGCTCTGTGGACCATCCACACACAGAGTGCTGACCTTCCCAGCTTCCAGAATCTCTATTTTAAAAAGGCGCCGCAGAAGACAGTCGAGGGAAACTGTGCCGTCGTTTTCTACTCCTGTACCATCTTCCTCCTATTTAATTTTAACCTCTTGGCTGCCTGCTTCCAGCTCCTCGCCTCCAGTGTGGCTCTGTCTGGTATTCAAAGGGCATTGACTCTGAAGCAAATGTTCATGGTCTTCACTGTTCCTAACAGGTCGATAAACAAACGTGTGAGCTAGCCTGGTGTTGTACAAAGTCCTTTGTTTAGGGTTTATAGCGTTATGAGGGAAGTCATGCCTTCCAGGAGCTTCTAAACTAGTTGGAAAGGCGACCATGGAGCAATATGAGGCAAGATAAGATTTAAGGCTCTTGGAACGACCCAATGAGGTGGGATTCAAAGATGGGCATCAAAGACACCCATGAATACCCCAAAATTGTTCTAAAAATGTTGTGTATGCAAGCATACATTTCATGGTAGAACTTGATAGCTCTCATCACTTTCACCCCCAAAAGCAAAGAGCCTTTTGACCCATCAGAGTTTACGAACGAGCACCCTTTACACCTTGGGTGCTACTCAGGGCTTCCTTCAGCACGTGAGCTGAATCTCGGGAAGTGGCTGTACTCAGAGAAATGCAGGGTAGGAGGCAGCCCTGGAGGAAGGGATTCCCTGGAGGCCCCACGAGAAGACTATTCCACTTAGAACCCGTGACCTCCTTACCTCACCCCTCCCAACCGCTCTAGAGGGCGATGAAGCGCAGCATTTTGTGCAGGGCCCTGGGCTCCTTTCCTGCTCCCTCACTCTCGGCTCCTGTTCTGAACATATCGCAGTGGACACTAATCAATATTTGATGAATGTGTGAGTTAACTGAAATAATAAATGTGAGAAGGCTTTGTAAACAGCCGAGCGCTGTCGCAGCACAAAGACCTCTGTTGTAAAGTACATGCATGTGGTCCTTTCCCAACAGCCTGCACCAAGCAGAGCAGCATCTTCTCCCTCTTGAAACTGACCCTTGCCCCTTAATGGGACTCAAAGGGCCAGCCCAGCTGATGGCGTGTCTGTGTGCTGGCCAGATGAATGATAGCTGACAAGATGTGCAGGAAAAAAGAAGTGCAGTGTTTTTAAGAGCCCAGAGGTGACCTCACCCTCTTCGCCCCTACCCCCGCTGCCACACCACCCCTGCAGCCCTCTCTCACTCCTGTTCTTGCTGTCTTCCTCCAGGCTGGCAGGCGTGGGAGAGGAGGGGGAGGGTAGATGCCTCTGGTGGAGCTGCTGCAACCAGGTGGGACACCTTCTACCAGGGCAGGCAGAACCACTCACTGTGTCCTCTCTGTAGCCTCTTGGGACGATCAAATGAGCCATTGCTGTACTCTGGGTGTGTATCTAACCCTTTCCTACCACACCCTCCCAGCAGTGCCCGTGCTGATAAAGAATAGATCTTCCTGGATTTTGTTTTCCTCGCCTGTGTGCCATCCAATCGACAAAGTGACTCATCGGCAAGATAATTACACTCCCAGGAACTTGGGTGCTTTGAAAGTGGGGAAGACTTTTAAGGGGATTGGTTGAAGATGACGGGCGTTCTCAAAACAAGTGAGGAAAGATCAAGGGGATAGCCAACTGTAGCAATTCTTCGGCTGTAGGTGTTGCTAAAGGCAGCCATGTCTGGCCTGACAGAATGCGCTCTAAGCCAAGAATTAGGAGGCCGTGTTCCAGATCGGTCCCTTAAAGGCTAAGCATGTCACTTAACCCTTCTGAGCCTCCAACGCCTCCTCCATAAATGGAATAGTGCATCTCTCCTGTCTCTTAAGGAGCCCTGAGGACAAAGTGCTTACCTGTTGGGCTGCAATCTGCAAAGCTGGCAGTTGGAAACCCCCAGCTGCTTCTCAGGACAAGAACGGGACTTTCTACTCCCACAGAGTCACCGCCTGGGAAACTCACCAGGGCAGTCGGCATTGACTCGATGGTGCTGGGTTTGTTTTGTTTAGTGAATGGTGAGAATCACAATTCATGAAGCGATGACAAGGCTTCAAGGGGCAGAAAGCTGCAGTGGAACCTGCAACAGCAGAGGAGATGGAACTCCCTTGCTTTTCCAGGTCTCGCTTGTGTTCTGCCTTTGACGGGATTCAATCTTAACATTTTTTTCTCCTCCTCTTTTTTTTTTTTTGGTGGCGATGCTGGGGAGCGAACCTCCTCTTTTTTTAGGGGAATGTTTTGTAATCAGCACCTGCTCAGCCTGGTCTTGTTTAACTTTTTATTGTGATTTGGGTGGAAGTTTACACAGTGTGTTGGTTGTTCGTGTAATGATTCATAACACTTTGTTTGGGGACATTGACCGGCATCCCCACAGTGGAGCCTCTGCCTTTCTTTCCCTTGCCCTTCCTGCCTTTTGAACTTGATCCCGTTGGCTCTCGTGGAGGTTGCTCCAGGGGGCACAGACCTCCCTGCTGTTGCTCTGCACCTTGGAGGCCTGCCTCTGGGTGGACTGCAAGTCGAGCCATGGTGGCGAGTTCTGTTGCCGGTCTGAACGGGTTCTCAGGACCACAGTCTCAGGGTCCTACCAGTCTCCATCACCCCAGTCAATCTGGCCTTTTTTATCATTTGTATTTTTGCCCCACATTTTCCCCACTCCAGTTCGGGCCTCCTATTGCGATCCCCTCAAAGCAGTCAACTCGTGATTCCTATTTCAGGGCCAAGCTGGGGTTCGTGGGGTCCACTCGTTCTCAGCGGACTCATTCTTCTTTGCAGCTTTGGTTTCCTTACTCCCCTTTGCTGTGGGTGGGGAAGGACCAGTGGTCGCCCCGTAAGTGGCCCCTCACAAGGGTTTTAAGACCCTGGTTGCTCTTCACCAAAGTCGGATGTGGCACAGTGTCTGTCTTTCGTAGTGCCCTTTCAACTCTGGCCCGCACCCCCCATGGTCATTGCCCCTGTGCGCGCTACTATGTTCATGGCTATGTTTGAAGCCCCTCATACATGAGTGTAAATATCCTCTGTGAAGTATATATGTGCATCTATATGGTTTGTATATTATTTGTGGGTGTAGTCCTTTTCATCTTCCCACATGTTCAGCTGGATGTCTGTGTGTGTGTATCCACACTTAGACTGTGTGTGTGTAATAGTATTTACCTCTGTTATGTGAGGGCTCTGGCCAGCACCTTCCTTTGCCTCGATCATTCTGTCTGGTGCTCGTTTTAGGGGAAAGGCCTCCTCGTTCCCTTCCCTGACCGGTTTCTGCCCTACACCCGTCCCAGCTCTCATCGGTTTGGCTCTGTTGGTTGGTTGGTTTTCATTTTCAGCAAAGGGGCTTCAAAAACGTTTGTGGGAAAATCCCCTTATCTTCCCATTCCATTTTCCCACCAACTTTCTGAATCCCCCTCATATATGAAGCATCTGTTGTGGGCCAGAAGACTGACAGTCATCAGATGCAATCCTCACGAGAGCCCTACAGGGTCGAATTGCTTCCGCATGAGAAACCAGAAACTCACAAAAGATGAAACTACCTGCCCATGACCATACTGCTGATATGGGAACACCTAGATTTAAGTCCAGGTCTGTTGCTGTTTGTGACCATAACATCAGCTCCTGTTTCTTTTCGGTTGTCTAGCCCCTACAAATCTTAGAGACTCCCGTATCCTTTACCATCTGTCTTGGGCCAAGTCCACCCTCTTAACTGAACTTGCTATCAAAGTTTTCTGGACTTCTGATGTTCTTCTGGGCACTGCCACCAGCAGGCCTGCCTGGTCTCGAACAAAGTGTGTACAGGCATTGATGGTGCTTTTAGAGGCAGCCACCCGCCCAGGCCTCTCTACCCACCCGTGAGGAGGCTGCCTTCTCAAGTGTACAGGGAGGAGGCATGCCAGCATTGTATTACTGCCCTCCATTCTGGAAATCACTAAGCATAAATGACCCAGGCAGACCCTTCGGAGTAAAACAATGAGGTATTGGCTCTTGGGGCCATACCGAAGGAAAGCAGACTCTTGGCAGAAACGTTGCTTAAACTCTTCACTCCTTTGAGGCAGGGCAGGGCAAGGAGTTAGTCCTGCCACTTCAAAGATGGAACTAGGAGATAGACTTCTCTAACATTACTGAGTGAGTGGGCAGGGCTGTCAAAAGCTGTGTGTCCTTTGAGACCTGAACCCCTTGGAATCATTGCTGTGGCTGGTTGACTTGGCCCTGGGTAGGGTCGGCACTGGAAGGATTGGCTGACCACTCAGATCGGCGCACCCACCCCCACTGCCCAGTGCCTCGCTCCCCAGTCCCACCTCCTAACCCTCCTTAGTGGAGAGATATGGCATAGGGCAGCTCTCCATCCCACTGAGTCCCATCTGACTAGCTGGTCCTAAGCCACCCACGCCCAGGGTGGGCCTTGGACTAGGGAGATGCATTTGTAGATGCTGCTCATTCCCCCAGTGCCAGGAATCTACCCTACAATTAGTCAAGAGATAAATCAAAACTAAGCTTGGCTGATGAAATTCAGGAGCCAGGGATGACCCTTGCCACGCATAAATCCCTGTGGGCCGGTCAAGGGCCTTTGTCTGGTCAGGAGGGTTCAGGATTATCTGGCCCTCTTTGCTGATGTATGGAGTCACCGCTGTCCGCGTGTTTACGAGCCGTTATCCCTCAGTGCTTTGGCCATTATCAGAGGCAGGGCCGCCTGCCGGGGCCGGGGCTCGCACCCTCTCTATTACCACCTGTCATTGGCAGAGAGTGTGGGCTGACGCTGCCCAGCCCTGGCGGCCGAGGGCAGATAGTTACTGACGGCTGATCAAAGAGGAGAAGCAAGGCCTGATAAAGAGTATGTGTTTCATGTACTTTTAACTTTGGGGAACGCTGGCATTTGCATTTTCCCCATCTTCCTAGTGCTGGCGGGAACCAAGCCCAATAAATGCAATGGATTCAGTTACCTAATCGCTGGGGAGATGGTATATGCTCAGAGCCACAGAGCACCTTCGTCCAAGAGACAGGCGATGAAATAAGCTTCCACAGAAGACGTGCTGTCTCATAAAGCAGCATAACTGAAAGTTGGGCTTTGAAGGGATCTTGCATGCAAAATCTCATCTTGGCATTCAGCAGAACATCATGTACTTTTTGGAATTGGGGAACAGCTTCGGCTTAAGGAAAGATCCGTGTCTGAAGATGCTATCCTCAGACTCTCTTGCCAGGGTCTCCAAATGGCGCCCGAGTGGTGAGCACGTCCGTCTTTGGGCAGCTGCGAGATGGCATGCAGTGAAGTAGAACAGCGGCATCAGGAGATCTGACTTTGGGGACCAAGTTAGCCACAAACTTGCTCTTGATCTTGGGCCATAACCTCTCCCAGCTTCAGCTGTAAAATAAAGAAGAACAGGGCATGGGTTATAGGATGTAGTGGGTTATAGTTTTCTCCCTCAGCTTAATCACTGTAACGCTTCCTTCAAATGGTGGTCTGGGGAAGGGCTCTTGTTTCGCACAGGACAAAGTACAGGTGTTTTGGTTGAACCTGGAAAGAGACTTCCCTGCCTCAATCCCAATTCCTGAAGCTCCCGAGGCTTTTTGAGATAACCTGCAGGGGCCCTCATAAGCTCTGCACCCCCTGGTCCAGGGGCAGGAGCACCCCGTGTTCCATGTCGTGCTCCCCTTCCTTCATCCTGCTGAAGGACTGAAACCGGCCCAGGGCGGGGGGATGGATAGCTGATGGTGGAAAGCAGAGAACAGCCCACCTTCTGAAGGTGTAGACTCAATGCTGGGTGTCTCCTGTGTGCCGCAGGTACCTTTGATCGCAGCGTGACCCTGCTGGAGGTGTGTGGGAGCTGGCCGGAGGGCTTCGGGCTGAGGCACCTGTCTTCCCTGGAGCACACAGAGGAGGGCCTCCGAGAGCGGCTGGCTGATGCCATGGCCGAGTCCCCGAGCCGAGACGTGGTGGGAGCTGGAACAGGTAAGCGCTGGTGTCTGCCTCGGAGCCTGACTTGGTTAGGTCTGGCATCCGGTGGTCTAAAGCTGCTTTGGGGTGGGAGTGGGTGTCTGTTTTAACCGCGGGGTTCTTTAGTTAGCACTCTGCTTGATGCCAGGTTTGGGAAACCTCAGGTATTGGGAGACATTGGGAAAAGAGGTGTTCCCAGTGGAGCTGTCACCTGCTACCTGGAATAGCACATACACAACGCCAGGAGAAACACAGTCCTATTGTAGAAGCGGCTCCCAGAGGAAGGGAGAGCCCTTAGGGTCACCAGCTTTTCCTTAGGCACTGGGAGCTGAAGTTCAGGTCGGGCATGTGGTGCCTTACAGACTGGGAAGGATCAATGGCTCTACCCACCCAGGATGAAACAAGTGCAAAGTAGGGAGGGGCTGGTCTGAGCCCCCTGGACAGCCTCTTGTGCCGCCTTATGCCCTGGCACTCTTGCCTCTGATCAAACCCAGCAACCGGGCACATCCACAGAGCAATCAGAAGGCATCCCGAAATGACGAGTGAGCCGTACCCCAGGAAAGCATGCCTACACACACAGCCGAGTATGCCCTCAGAAAAGCCCGCAGTCTGCCCAGCTGCACACAACTCTAGTAGGGCGCCCCTTCTGGAGAGGCCTCATATCCAAGGGATTCTAGCTATCTGGGTTGCTACGGCCTTCCTTCTTCTGAGCTCTGGAAATAGCGCTGCCACAGACCTGAGACCCCTGGTAACGTGTCATGGGGCTGATGCGACTGCTGTCTGGAGGCCTTCCTTCCCACTTGCTTGCCTGACTCCTCTAAAGACTGATTCTGATCTGCGAGCTGCACCGTCCTTGCGCGGTGTGTCTACCTGGACAAAAGGAACCCAGTACAGAAACACCTCTACCCCCTGGGGCATGAAGCAGGACCAGAGGTTGAAGCCTTTTTTTTTAATATTGGGGTTTAGCAGTTGAACTTCGTGCTCTCCTTCCCCAACTCCATGCCCGTATCTATTCCCACAGTGGCTAAGAGGCTAGAGACCCAATCCTACTCATCTCTGTCTCCACAGTACGAGCTTAGTGGCCTGCCTTTCGTACTGATACAATAAAAGGCATTTGGCTAGAGACGGGAGCTCCTCACCTGGCCATCGGAGACCTCCTACTCAGGAAAGAAAGGAGATGAAAACTTTGGTAGCTACAACACCCTTCTGTATACACACACAAAGATGTGTGCACCCCACCCCACCCCAAACATAAGAACCCCCAGCTTGGATGATATGCCATTATACTATTGTTCTATCACCTGTGTGCCATTTCCTGGGGCTCTAACCCTGTTTTCATGAGAAGCTGGATTTAGAAGGAAAGCTTTAGCCTTCTTAAGCCTCACTCATGGTGTCCCTGAAGAAATGGCCTCAGTTGCTAGCTGATATTAGAGGTTTAAGTGCATGTAGAGGTGCCTCAGAAGACCTGGTGAGTTAGCCACGGCCACCCTGTGGGGCACAGATCTCCTGGCATTGCTGTGAATTGAAGGTGACACAACAGTGACTGGTTCAACCTCGCTCTGGCACAGCCATTCCCCAGCCTAAGTTACATACGCCAGAGCCGACTGCCACTAGTTAGACTCGCTCTTCCAAAGCCCAGAGGACCTGCTGTCTTGCTGAGCAGCCGCAGGGAGCGTGTGGGCTCCAGTCAGCAAGCGGATGTGGAGGTGCAGTCGGTCTGCTTGGTGAAACTTCAGACTGGCACAGAAAATTACTAACCTGAGCAAAACTGGCAGCAAGTTGTCTGCCAGACGCTGAAGGATTCTGAAGCGTATTTGTGGCCTTAAGCTGGTTCATGACATGAGAGAGAGAGAGAGAGAACTAAAAACTACAGCCCACAGGTCAGAAAGTGAGAGACTCCCTCTTTTGAATAGAGGACTTCATTTTCCTCCACAAACTGTCACCAAAGGGGATTCATTTAGTTTTCTTTGACCGTAGTAGTTGTATGTTTTCTTTCTCTTTCATTCTTTCTGTCTTTAACCTGCCCTCTGCTTGAACAAAGTAAAGCAAATATTGTGAAGGCAACCTGGGAAGCACATTTTGCTCCAGGTATACAGTTTTAGCCTGGCTGTGCAGTCCAAAGCGGCCTAGGGCAAGTAAGGACCAGCCGGATGCCCAGAGACACACAAGGAAATAAAGGTAGTTAGTGCAATTGGGGTAAGACTGCCTAGCAAGTCACCCTTTGCCCATAACAGCCTCTCAGTCATCTCTCTTCCCACAGCCCTACATCTCTGTGTGGCTTGTAGAATAAACAGATAGGGTGGCATGAATGTTTGCCTCTGTTGGGTAGTCTGATGCACCAGAGATAGTCACTTCCTTCAGTGACTTACAGCAGGCCGTTTGTCTGACCTGGGGCCTCCTTATCAAGTACGGTTGGTTCTCAGAGGCCAACTTCCAACTGGCTCTCGTGAGCCCTGACCCCGCGGCTCCCAGTGGGCAGCAGGCCTCACTGTTGTTACACAAGGGGTCCAGGGGAGTCCAGGTAAATGTTGCGCAGCCTGCTTACAAAAGGGAAAGCCCGGAGTTGAGCATTTGCAGGGGCCCATAGTGTAAAAATCCCTATTGTGGCCAAGTTCAGTCTATCAATGTGATTCAATGGGCTAGTTGGATTCCTGAAGGCTACCTCATTAACTAGTTACAGCACACCATTGGTAAGCCTACCAATGTAAGGCAAATCAAGACTCCCCCAAACTAAGGCAAACCCTCTTCATACCTTCCTATTCAAAGAGTAGGAACCCTGTGGGTGCAGTGGGTAAAAGCCATTAGATAGGAACGTAAAGGGTGGTCATTTGAACGGATTAAACCCAGCAGGCTAGGAAACCCTCCAGGGCGGACCTACTCTGACCTGTAAGGTCACTGTGCATCCAGATCGACAGCATTCAAAGGGCAAGCGGTCTGCGGACCGGTTGAAAGGCAGGATCTCGGGCCCTACCCAGCCATGACTGCGGATCCCTTAGTCCTCGTAGGTCACGTGTGTAGTTTACCAGTTCAGCTCCAAACGAACGGCTGCCATGCTTGCTCAAACCGCAAGCCCCTGCCGGTGTTGCCCGTTCAGCAAAACCCCACTCTGCAGTCAGTCCACCTGAGTTCTCTCTGCTTAGGCAGCCTGGGTTGCTGAAGAACAATCCGCTGTTCCCACTGGTGCCTCTCCAAGCTTTGGGTCTCCACTCTCCATTGAACCTTGGTCCTCCTAACGCATTTTCCCAGCCTGCCCACTTCTCCTGCTCAGTCTGCACGCATCTTTTCCAGTCGAGGGCAGTGCCTAGTGTGCAGTGCCGAGTTCCCGAATGAATCCCTCCGCATGCCCGAAGGGTCGACAGCAGGGCTGCAGACCTGCTGAGTGCTGTGGCGATCAGCCTCTTCTCGCCGTCTCAGACAAGCCCCGCACCTCTGGTCCACACCCAGGCTGAGTTCTTGTCTCCAAACACGCCTAGATACTAGGATGGACCAGGTAGTCTCAGTCCATCCTCTGGAAATCAGTTCTTTTTCTTCCTCAGGAATACAATGTCCAGCTTCCTCGCCCTCATTCTTCGTCAATCCCTCACCCTACCATCTCTCAAAGAAAAAGCGGCCTTTATCATGTCAGAAATCTGACTTCCTGCCATCCAGATCCCAAAGGCCCAGCAACCACACTCATCTTTCTTGCAGTTCCTGCAGCCTCCTTGTGAACCCTGCCCTGTGCTCTGGAAGTACCTGCCTGTGGTGCCTGGCTTCCGGTTACTTCTCAAGCCCGCTTCTGGGTCTTCTTCCTCTGGGGCCCAATTAAGTCTCCTCTGAAAGCCCCATCTTGGTTCTTTTCTCCAGTTGTGGTTGTTTTTAAATGTCAACTCTTTATTGTGAATTGGGTAAAGGTTTACAGAGCATACTCATCCGTTTTCCGTTCAACAATGTATACATAGTTTGCCTCGTCTCATTCATCCATCCATCCTTCGCAATCCCCTCCAGGCCACACCAGGCATCCCTCTGTGTTTCCCTCCTCACCCTCCTGGGCTTTGTCCCCCTTGATCTCAAGTGGTCCATCATTCTAAGGTGTGTGTACCTCACTAGTGTTACTTTTCCCTCTTTACACAACGATCGCCTCAGGGTCTCTGCTTCCATGACTATCCATACACTTAATGCTTCCCAAACTTCTCCAGGCTGGCTTTAGCTCTGGACACCAGAAACATCTATCCAGTCACCTACTGACACTTCCACATGAGAATCCTCTCCTTGAACCAAGCCCTGCCCGTCTCAGTGTGCACAAAACCCTTCCTGGGCTGTCACTTCCTTGCCCCCCAGGTTCCCCTCTGTTTGGTGGGGATCTTCCTAAAGGCTCCTGCTCTCTGCCCGCCAGGCCTCCGCACATACTCTTCTTTGTGGCTGGAATGCTGGCTCCGCAGCCCTCTCCTCTAGGTCAGCTCTCACGGAAGAACGGGACTAGCTCCTGCTTACTTGACATTCCTTGTAGTATTGCCTTGGCTAGAAACATCCACTTTTCATAAGAAGCAAAATATGTCTTTCCATCTGTTGTTTTGTGTGTAGTTAAATATACAATCCAACACAAAAAGAAAACGAATAAACACTGGCACACATTAGACCCTTTAGACGATCGGTGTCTCTCCCTTACCTGCCTTTCTCTGCCTTCTCCTCCAGCAGCCACCAACACCTCGTGCCTTGGCCACAGATCCTGATGGTCCGTTTCCACTGTCCTTGACCTCGCTCAGTTGCAGGGCACCCTCCCTCCGGAGCTCACTTAGCCAGCTCTCGAGGGTCTCCCTTCCTGGGGACGTGTTTCCTGCAGTCCTGGGATCCTTGTTTGATGCTCCAGGAAAAGCAGAAGAGAGGCTTCAGCTTTTACTCTAGGGACTCACACAACAGGCGTACGTCTGCCTCCTACTTCAGTCAGAAAGACATTGTGTGAGAGAGACATGGCAAATCGACCTAAAGGGTCGATGAGTATTTATTGTCCTATTCACTCAACCTCTTGAGGCTAGAAAATTCTTAAAAATGAAAAAATTGGGGTAAAACATAAGCTTACCCCTATGAGGGTGGTGGGTGGGAAGGAATGCATTTCCCTTCTTGACTTGGTTCCCCGAAATGTGCCAAACTTTCACAAAAGAATTTTATAGGCATTGAATTTTAGTACTTCCTACTTAGTTTCCTTTTTTACACATGGCATCGTGACCCTCTAAACGGATTTCATAACATGTCAGTGATGCACTGCAGTCTACTCTTTGCAAAGCAGCACTTCACTTTTTTTCTGCATTTTCCTGCTGGTGGGATCGTTCCTCAGCAGAGACGCCGTTAGCATGTCTTCAACTCAAGCTCTTGCAAAGATTTTTCTCAGAAATGACTTTTACTTATTAAAAAGGCTGTTCCTTTTGCCCTTTCTTCCTCGTACATTAAAAGCACATTTTGAATATTACACATAATTTTTAAATGGCCACAAGGAAGTTTCACTAAATTAGTTAACTTATCAGTTGATTGACTGTGTTTTGATGAACTAACAATATTATTTTTTTATGTGGATACCAACTTCTGTTTGGGACTCTGGAAATTAAACTCTCAAAAAATGCTAGATAACTATGGGTGCTGGTAGCCTAGCAGTTCTGTGTTGGGCTGCTAAGTGAAAGGTCAGCAGTTCAAAACCACCAGCTGCTCTGAGGAAGGAAGATGAGGCTTTCTGCTCCTATACATAGGTTCAGCCTCAGAAACCCACAGAGACAGTTCTACCCTGTCCTAGAAGGTTGCTGTCGATGGCATGGAGTTTGGTTTGGTTTGTGGTTTCTGGAGTTACCCCCAGGATTAGCTTTGCCAGTGGGCTTGGAACCCCTGCTGCCCACTGCTGAAGGCTGGGAACATTGTTGTCCAAAGACTGCCTTTTCTGTAGAGACCAGGTCCCCTCCTATCACAAGGTGCCACATAATCAGCTGAGATTACAGCAAACACTTCATTCTATTCACCTTTAGACAACTCCACTCTGACCATTTCCATATTCAGAGCTGATCATTATCAGTGATTATTTCAAAAACTGGCCACATTGGACGTCACAGACCATTCAGAAGATTTGGAAAGTGCTTGAATTTTTTTCCATTCTACAGATAAGAATGTCTAGAGCTCAAAAAGGAGAATTGTACTCATTCCCACCCCAGGGTAGCTGCACCAGGGTAACGTGGGTCTCTGCAAGGCCATGGAGACAGGACCCCAGCTTATCTCCACAGTAGAAGCCTCAGCGAGGCTGCTAAAGTGACACTTCTCTTTGTGGGACCTCAAAGGTCCCTGCCCTAACCTTGAGATTTTTCCAATTCTAAGTGGGTGCACTGTGAAGCGTACGTCTCCTCCTTGGATCGTGGGTTCCGATTCTAAGCACACTCAGAGGCCATGTAGATGGAAGGGGCTGCTCTCCCAGTTGTGGCTCAGAGCTCACATTGCCTGCTGTCACACTGCACCCAAGCTGCCTGCATCTTTGCATAGGCTCTTCTCTTTTCCTCTGGCCTCTGCACCCCCAGCCCCCGGGGAAGCGGGAGGTCTTTGGCTACTGACCTCTCCATGATGCCGCAGTAAGACAGCCCACAAAACCCAGTCTGTACCACCCCCCAAGTCTTACTCTTCCAATCTTCTTCCTTCAGTAGGGTGGGATAAGCCATTAATGGGCTTTTCTCACTTCCTGAAGGCATGGCTTCTGGCTTGGGCCTGGCTCTCCTGCTAAAGGTTTTAAATAAAGCTTTCTCCCCAGGTCCTGTTGCTCCTACAGTTGCCCCCAGCCCTTGGCAAACAATGTCATTCAAGCCACTTAGGCGCCCAGGCCTGTGCATGTGCTGTTGTTGCATCTGGCAAGTGGGTAGGCATCTGACATTCCCTCCACACTAGGCTGGGACCAGACAGCAGTGCTGCACGTGGGTCTGCTCCTCTCTGACTGACACCCCCAGCTTCCTTCCCACTGGGCCCATCTAATGGAGTTAGCCAAGAGGTCAGGCTAGTTCCCCTACCCTAAGGGCATGATTTTCCCAAGATGTGAGCACAAATCTGCAAGCTCCCCATTAGCTTCATCTTTCTCCCAGGGTTTGATGGGTTTGAACTGATGACTTTGTGGTTAACAAGGTAATCCAACATCTAACCCAACAACACCATCCAAACAACTTAGCTACACTCGACTCACTCGTTTACAAATGGGAACACCAAAGATCCGTAGTGAACTGCCCAAGATAGCGACTGAAGATCAGTTGTTTAGCAAAAGTTTCCCGTTCCTTCGCCCCTATCCAGACGGCTCTCCCAGTTCCTCCCACCCTTCAGTCAGCCGCAGGGCATCCAGCAGCGAAGCGGACTCTCACTTTCAGGACTTGCTCTATTGTGCCCCTTCCGGCTCTGGGAGTCTCCAGGCCGCCACGGTACAGCCCAGACATGCTAGTATCCCAAGTCTCTTCTAGGCCTTCCCCACCCTGCCACTGCCCTTCTTCATGTGTCACCGACACAACAACCCACCATCCCTAGCACACGCCCTAGCCACTGGTTTGTCAGAGCATTGTGTTGCCTTCCTAAAGTACCCTCTGCCTGCTCGTCTTTCTGGTCCAAGCCCAGATCTCACCTCTTAAGTGATGTTTCTCTGAGCATGCCCGCAAATGCCCTCGACCTCTCTTCCGGCTGACCCTCTGAGCCACCCACCTACAGGAATTCCTGTTTGTTGCCTTTGGGGAACTAGCAGTTGCCCCTGGAAGAAAGGCCAACTCTGATCCCTTCAGCCCCTCTCCCTCCCTTACTGCTGCCAAAGGTGTGTCTTAACCCACTTCTGACTGCCTGGATTGAGTCAGACTCATCTGTGTTAGATCTAGCCCCCAGCCTCCTCCCTGCCCAGCTTCCAGGCTGAGAACTCCACTGAGCTTCAGTCAGTGTTTGGTGAATGACTGGATGAGTCTTTGTGGCCTAGAAAAGGCATAAAAGCAGGCGAGAGCCGGAGGGAAAACTTGCTTAGAAGACACCCTGTTACTAGCTGGGTCTCAGCTCTGCTCCTAGGTCAGTTGACCCTGGTTACTTTGAACTCTTTCGCTGAGACTCACTGATTTCTTTCAATTAAAGGGGGAGAGGGGGCTGCTGTACTCTCACAGGAGACCCTGCAGAGCCCCCTTCCAAGTGTTGTCCCCAACTTGGAACCAAGAACTCCTGATGAAATCCAGAGTGGCCTGGCAAAAGGGTGGGAGGGCTGTTGGACCCTGGAGCAAGGGCCCTTCTCTGGAGGCACTAACATAGGTGAATGGTTAACCAAAGGGAGGGCTTCTCACTGTTCTTCCTCCTCTGCCAGGGAGTTTGCTTTTAACCAGTGACCTTTCTGGGAGGTGTGCAATCTGAACAAAGTTGAACACAGTCACAGATGGTTGAATCCCCATCTCTCCCTGCGCCTGCACCCCTGCCCTGGGATATGCAGACCACCCACTAGGTGCCATGGCTGGCGACAGCAAAAGGCAAATGCACCCGGAAAATGAAAGTTGAAAATGACCCTCTGACCCTTTCAGAAGCCTGAGCCTCAGCTCTTAGAAGTAAAAGAAAGTGCGGTCCTAAGGAAGATCAAGCCACGTTAATCGGGTTGAATTTAACAGAAGGAGCCTTTTGGGATCGATCCCCTGCCCAGCCTCTGACTGGTGATTCCCGCCTGCTCGCACCCCCTTCTCCATCACTCTGGCCCTCAGAACCTTGCAGGCTCACTGCATGAGACATTTGCTGGCTGATCGCTCAGCACCGGGGTTCCCAGGCTTCACACACACACACACACACACTTTTTTTTGTGGTGCACACTAGCTTGCCATTCCATCCCTCTGCACTTCGTTGGGTTTGGGGAGACTCGCCATCCAGCTGCGCTGCTTTTGTTGGGTGACTTCACCATTCTCTGCCGTGGTCCCATCCTCTCCGAGCGCTCCAGGTGGCCAGGCCAGCCGTGCCATCTCCACTTTCATGTGTGGGACTGTTTTGGTGTTGCTTTTGGTGGTGGGGGTGGGGGAGAGTCAGTTAAACCTACCAGGGTCTGGCCTCTGTCTAGGCATGGGCTGGGTCTTTGGGAGGTTTGGAGGTTTGGAGCGTCTCTGGTTTCATATTGTATTCATCCCCCAAGTCACGGCGAGCTGAATATGTGCAGGCAGCTAGTGCATTTGAGCACCTCTGTGTGATCTTCCCAAAGCAGCCAGGCCACACTGCCAAGCAAGCAGCTCTGAACTTCAGACCGAGTTTCTAAATCCAGGTAGCCCAAGAGGAGGAAGAAACCCTGAGGGGACGCCTTGCCCTGTTGGTGTCGGCTTTATCCCCATGCCCTGCCCTGGCCTAGCCTTGTGCCACAGGCAGGAAGGTAGGGGTTCTTGTAGTCTGGAGAAGGATGGAGGGGTAGAGGAAGGACGGGCCCAGGCTCATGCAAAACGTGTCAAACCCTAGACAGGCTCTGCCGTGGGGACACCCCCAGTGGGACAGGCCGGGAACCCCCCTCTGCAAATCTCTTCGTGGCTCTCCTCCAGGTCCATGCCCTGATCATCTTTAAAGAAACATTTTATTTTCAATACAGAGACACCCCTTGATGTAGCAGTAAAACACACCACCCCTGAGAGGCACATGGCTGTGAAGTGTTTGGGTATGTAACCTCCCGTCTTTGCCTGCAGGGAGGGCTTGGTCCCACTGGTCTGGTTATCCCTCCAGAGGTCACCCCCTAACCCCCTGGTGTCTGGGCCGCAGAGGCATCGGCGTGTGGGCCCGAGGTCGGCTCAGACAGGAGGCCCCTCTAGCCAGGCAACGCCCGGGGATAGGGAGTCGGTGCTGCCCTTCACCAACAAGAGTTCCTTTGAGAACTCTGCTCCCTGCCCCCTACTTTTAAGATGGAAGTCAAATTTTCGGACTCTGCTGTGCAGAGCAGAGAGGTCACTAGGCCCTAATGCATTTACCATTGACTGCCCCTCTTGTAGTGCGTCTATTAGTGAGTAATTTGATTTGTACCTATTCATTTGCAGTCCCTGCAGGAGCCTGGAGCTGGCCCCTGGTATAATTGGTGCTGTCTCTATTTTTACATCATTAGATTAGCCCCGACTCCTGGCCACTTGTTGTCTGCGCTTGTCTGTCCATTTATACAACCTAATGTAACACAAAATTCATTACTGATCACATTACTTTCAACTCTGAAGCCAGCCTTGTGATAAACATTTGGTTAACCCCTTCCCACCCACGGGAGGGCTGGCAGAACAAATGCACTTCCCCTCGACAGGCAAATCAATATCTTAATACACCAAAGTGGAATTGCATTTCTAGCTTTGTTATTCCTCCTGGAGGAGCAAGTGGAAGGCTGGTCTGAGCTGGCTGAATTGAATAATGAATCGAGCCCCGGCACCAGCAGCCAGTCTGCCAGCCCAGCCTTTCTCCTCCGGACCGGCGGCACCACCGCAATTAATTGAGCCTTGTGATTCCCTCCCAGCCACTGGCTGTAGGCTGAAGTACACAGGCGGGGGCCCTAAAAGGCAGCCACAGAGACCCTGAACCCCCACGATATTATGCTAGGGCTTGGCCGAAGACCAAGTGAGCCAGGAAGTGGGCTAGGTTCCTTAACATCTGACTTGTGTAAATACTACCAAGAAATTAGTGCTGGAAATGAAAGCTTACCGTTTGGGAAACAAGCACGCGGAAGGCTCCCGATTCAAAGCCAGGCTGGGGCTGTTGGGATGATTTGGTCCACCTGTCCCAGGTGTGTGCTCCTGGCTCACACAAGCCAGGCAGGCTGGTGCTTGGTTCGAGCCCCACCTGGTTTGGGAGCAACGCATGGGACTCTAGCACCGGAGGTGGCCAATGGTCTCCAAGGGACCCCAGCAAGCACAGCTAGCTCTGTTTCACCCAGAAGACACCCCCCCCAATGCTTCCATCCCGTGACTCCCTCCCCTGCGCCCATTTGTCTCTGGGTAGCATCTACACCCACTATAAGTCATTAACTTGCAGCTGTTTGTTTCAAAAGGAAAAATACCCCCCACTTACTAAACTCCCATAAAGCCTGTACCACAGTGATTAGAAAAATCGGCACAGAGGAAGTCTAGTGGAGCCCATTACCATGAAAGTCATAAATCCCGAGGTAAAAAGGACCCATAAACTGAAGACACTCCGTTGGGAAGGGAAGCTGGACAAAGCAGCCCTGTCTAGGGAATATTCTGTTCGAATATGAGGAAGTCCTGAATGAGAGGCCAAGAGGGGGCAGCATTGAAGCCCTGAGTTAGGACGAGGACTGCACCCCAGACCCTGCTGCCTCTTAACCACTCAGACCCCTGACAGGCCAGAAATGACCGGCCAGTCTGTGAGATATGGGGGTCCTTGGGACGCTGTGAAAGCCCAGGTGTCATTAGGCTGGTTTCCCCATGCCTTTCCCAAAGATTCTTCTGGGGTGGTGTGTTTCCGGGGGAGGGGGGTGTCCCAGGCATAGCCCCCTTGGGGTTGCCAGGAGAAGGAGAAAGAGCTATGAGGCAGTTTGTCTCTCCCTGCCTGGTGGTAGGAAGTTCCATTTCCCACGGAGGGGCTGGAGGGCCAGGCCACAGAATAGGAAGCTTCAGGGACAGGACCCTCATCCCCAGGACTCCACAATAATAGCTCTCAAGTGCTTCTTGTTGAAGGAATCCTCTGGGCAGGGCTTTGGAAGACACACCCGTATCTAGGCAGTGGAAGGAAGGACCCTGGTGTGTCTCTGGGGCGAGCCTAGGCCCAGGGCCATCTCCTTAGAGAAGGGAGGACCCTTCCAGGAGGGTTGGAGGCACCAGCTCCCCACCCCCAGCGCCCACCACTACCTTGCTGAGCAGCTCGCCTGCTGCTTTGGCCTCCGCTGTGAATCCTGTAGGGTGGACAAGGGGAGCAGGGTGTGTGTTCGTGGGAGCGGTTGCGGGTCCCACACTGACCCCAGTCTGTGCCTGTGCAGAACCAGACAGACCAGTGCAGAGAGGGGAGTGGGCCCACCCCTGGTGGAGCTCTGTTCATCTCGATGGAAAAGAGGGAAAGCCACATCTTACCAAACTCTTCGGTTGCATTATAGGGAATTTAATTACATTTGGCCATTTGAATGAGAACCAGATGTGGCTCTGGCCTGTCAGGCCAACAGCTTTCGGGAGCTGAGTCTCCCCTGCAGTCTGCAGGCCCCTGTGCTATCTCATAGCTTTGGAGATAGCTCAAGAAGCCCCCTGCCTGGGAGCTCGTGGCTGGACTTGAGACAGGCAGATCAAGGGCAGCTGCCAGACACCTGGTTCAAAGGGAGGGTTTTCAAGCCCTGTCTCCTCTGTAGCCATGCGGAAGGGGTATGTTTCCCGGCGCCTGAGACAACCCCTCACCAGCACCCACAGCCACATGCAGACACACACACGCGAAGGCATTTTCACAGCCACCTGGCTGGGCAGTCTCTGGCACCAGGTTGGGTCGGCTGTGCTGCCGGCTCTGAGTGCCTCATACGGCGTCTGCTGAGGCTCTGCCTCGAGTGTGTGTCTGAGAGCTAGACGTAGAGAAGGCACTGGTGGGCTTGGGCTGCTAGCCACAGGTTAGCAGTTCGAAACCATCGGCTGCTCCTTGGGAGAAAGAGGAGGCTTTCTACTTCTGTAAAAAAGTTAGTCTTGGAAACCCACAGGGACAGCTCTAGCCTGTCCTGTGGAGTCACTGTGAGTCACAATCGACTCCGTGACAGTGAGTATAGAGGGAGGACCCCTCTTTCTGGCCTTCTGCCGGCTTCAGACCCCAGAGCTGCCAAAGCTTACTTCTAATGCCAAAGCCACGGCAAGAATGGGGGCCCCCTGATGTGGCTGATGCCTTTTCTCTGCCTTAAAGCCCCTCCCACATCCAGTGAGGTTGCTACAGCACACCCTCCCAACCTGTCCAACAGAGAAGTGAAGCCAAGCCATTCGGCAGGTGGATGAGAACAGGGCTCGAGGCCGTTTGGCAGGTCTGCAAAAGACATGGGGCCCCACCAAAGTCTCAGCCTCCTGAGACAGTGCTCCTTCTCCTGGCCAACCACAGCGAGGGGGCTTTGAGCTGCGGACGTCTCCCACACCGGGCTGAGGTCCAGCTATGGCTCCCGTCAGAATGCTAGAATCCCTCCAAAGCAGGAAGCTCTAAGCCTGGCTAGCTGAGCTTTTCAGGCCCCAAAGACAGTGTGTTAGGACCGGATGATGGCCAGGGCCTGGGTCGGGCTGCTTGCTTTGCCCGTACAATAGAGATGTAGGAAGGCGTGGATTTCCTGGGAATGGATGGAACAGCCTTTCTGGTTCAAGGCCTCCTCCCAAGCCCGGGATTGGTGTAGGGTCATGACCTTTAGAGGAGGGATCTTCAAAAAGTCAGGCTGGCACATCCTCGTCTCAACCCTTCCACCACTACCACCACCACCACCCCACACACACATACACACATACACCGTCATTGCTTAGCAGCAGGGCAATCTGGGCTGGGGTGTAAGCCACTCTGCATGGGAGTCAGGTGCCCCCTTGCCCGACACCCACGTGTGCACACAGCCTATGGAGGGCATACCACTAAAGTAGGGGTGCTGATGAACGTGGGGCAGATCTCTGCTATCCCTCCGGGCCTGGCAGCCCTCCCTGTTTCTCCCGCCCTTCCACTCTCCAACCTTCCCAATCTCCTGGTGTTAATGCCACCCAGGCCCATTATCGTAAATTAAGTGCAGAGATTGGAGGACACCCCCCTCTGGCTACTGGGGAGAGGGGCTAGTGAGAGAAAAGACCCTGTTATTGTCTCTATTTTTTGGGTGGCAGCTAAGGCACAGAGGGGGCCCCAGACTTTGGACCCAGCTCTCACCTTCTAGAGGCCACTAGGCTCCCCGGAGGATCTCTGCTCTCCCCCAGGCCTCAGATGAGGGGCTTGGCACCTGTGCGCAGAAAGCGGTCCCAGAAGTCCTGAGCCAAGGGTGCCACAGATTTACCCTCTGCGCCCCGAGCTGAGGGATGCACAGGGCACACTGTGTGGCCTTAACTCCTGGCTCAGGAGCGTGAGCTGGGCCAGGCTGAAGGCAAGCATGACGAGAGGACCCTGTGGGTTGACAAAGACCCAGGGAATGCGCTGCCTGCCTGCCCACAGACCTCTTCTCGGGAACCCCAGCAGTCTGTGGTGTCACTGGAGATGACTGGGCCAGAGCCAGCCCCTGGTTCCCACTGCCCAAGCCAGAATTCCTGTTATCAGAACAAGAAGCCTTTTCCTCTCCACCTCGAACTTTGAGAATCTGACCTTGTCCCTTGTCACGCATGCCTAGGAAGGGAACAAATCTCTGCTGGGGGGCTGAGGGGGGATACATGGTGGCTCCCTCTGCCCCAGAGCCTGTCCTCCCAAGACCTCTGTGCAGGTGGACAAAGAGAATCCCTCATTTGAGTGGCCAGGGTGGCATTGCCAGCTCAAAGACTGAGGGAGGCGCTGAGGAGAAGGGTGCCAACACACTTCAGAGGAAGGCTTGGAGCAGGCAGGGAGTGGAGAGGCAGCCAGCAAAGGTGGATGTGATGGCTGCCTGGAAAGGAACAGAGCCTTCCTGCAGCTGTCTCCTCCCACCACTGCACTTGCAGCCTCCTGAGAAGTGCCCCGGCCGAGGCTGGCTGGGGACCAGTGTACCACTGAAAGGTGGTGGGCTTTCCAGAGGCATCTCAGCAAGCTTGCTGGGCAAGCTTTTGCCACCCAGGCCCAGCCCGCTGTGAGACAAGCAGACCCTAGTCATGTCTGCGGGGCCTGGTTGTCTCCAGGCCAGGTGTGCAGGCCCCATTTGGGTCACTGCTGACAGGCAGCAGCAGGCCTGTGGTCTCGTTCCTGCCACAGAGAGCCCGTCGGAAAGGGGCTGGAGATCCCTTGGCTCTTAGGGACCATACCTCCCTTGTCTCCCAACTGGGAGCCCTCCTAGAGGCGGGCCTGAGCCGGTCCGGGGAGCAGGCAGTATGGCCGCTGTTGTTATCCCAGCTCCCCTGAGGGGCAAGCGAGCCCACCCCAGGCAAAGGTTTAACCACAGTGCCTGCTAACTGGGTGCAGGAGGAAAAATCAATGCATGTCAACAGGGTTGGAAATTTATTTTCCAACTTAGAAGTGGGTATTTGCAAACAGCAAGGAGGCAAATGGAAAGCCGTAAACACCACCGCCATCTTCCTCCCCGACCCATTTCTTGATTAAAAACAAAGAATCCTTTCCAAGCACCATGGAGGCTGAGCTAGTAGGGACCCAGGGAGGGAAGCAGGGCAGAGGGCCCTGGCGTCCGAGGGGTAATCGGGGTCACTACTACGATCGCTGTGGTAGCGTACCTTTGGTGAGTGGCTGCGAGACACACTTGTTTCTCACTTTCCGAGGATGATGATTTCATCACAAATGAAGTAGACATTTCCTCACCTTCAAGAACGGAGACACAGAGATGTTGAGTAACTTGTCAAAAGGCTCCCATGTACCCACAGCCTAGCCTGTATGCGGAACCACTTTCCTGAACCCACCCATCCAGGCAGATCCTGCCCCTTCCGCATGTACCCACCCACCTCCCCAGGCCCTCAAAGGCAGAGCAGTAGGCGGGCATTCTCTAACGTCCTCCCTCTTCACTGCCGGAAGCGGTGGAGCTGTGGGTGCCGGGGATCACTCAGTCCCCAGGCACAATCCCACTCCCACCAGGCTGCCTGGGTGGTTAACTCGAGACGTGAGACATGTGCTTGCAGCCGAAGCCCAATAAAAATACTCTGCTAATCCCTTTAATGGGCAGCGTCGTGAGCCTCTAAATGGACATAGCAGGGCTGGCTGGAGCCTCTGAGGACCCAGAGGGGCTGGGCCCTTTTGTAGTGGGCAAAGGATGAATCAGGGCTCCCCAGTAATTTCTCCACAACCACAGCACTGCACCGGCCCCATGTAGGGTTTGGGGTCAGGTCTCCCTTTGAGGTCCCGACACTTGAGCTTCCCTCGGGGTCCCTGAGTGGCCAGGTATGGCTGCTACCAGGCAGTGCCCAGCCTGAAGTCGACCTTTACATCTGTGGGGGCTCTCCCCTTCACCAGCTCTCCCCAGGTCTCCCTTAGGTCCTGTGTCCTCAGTACGTCACCCTCTCCCCATTCTGTCCACTCCGCCCAGCACTTGGGATGTGGCTCTGACAGGCTGGCATTGGATAAGTCACTGTGGCAGCTGGAGACAGGAGGGGCCTTCCCAGAACCAGAGACCCCTAGCCACCTCCCTGGGCAGAGAACCCCCTGCCTGACTTGCCAGGGGTAGGGTGGCTTTGAAAGAGGGCAGTCCTGGGGCAATCATGATGGTGAAGCAGCCTTGGAAACCAGGCTTTCCAGAGGGAGAGGCCACAGAGACAGGAACAAGGCTGCCTCAAGCCCTGCCCCCTGCACATCTCTGATGCCAAAGAGAGGCTCAGTGGGCATCATCTTTCTGCCCCCAGCCCTGGAACAGGGCTCCTGCATTTCCATGTCCACTCAGAGTGACCTCCCATTGTGTTCCCCTTGGCACACACTCCCCAGGCACTCACTCTGCCCACCCTGACACCTCTGAATGAATGCGGGCAGGTGTCCTGTGAATGGGTCAGTGTGCAGACCCTCCTTGCTTGCTCCCTCACTGATTTCAGGAGAGTTGTGGCTCCTCCCATAGTCTCCATGTCCCCAAGGGGGTGCCCAGCTTGGGGAGGGAGGGGGCACCGCCAGTGACGGGCAGCTTTACAATGCTGGAGTTCTCACCGTCTCAGTGCTGTGGCTGCACCAGCCTCTCAGGTGCCCTGCGGCACCCAGCGCGAAGGGTCCCTTACTCCTCCTGGGGTTTGCCGCCTGCAAGATGGGGTAGCTGGAGGCACAAAAGCGAATAGGAGGTCTGGATCAGATTGTCGGGGTCTGTGTCCAGCAGCTTCTCATTCTCACCCCCTCCCTGACGTTCAGGCTGAGAGCAACCCCTCTCAGTTCACTTTCCCCCGGCCAGAATCTCCAGCTCTGGTCTCTGGTGGGTGTTCTCCCAAGTCCACCTCAACTGCTGGAGAGCTGTCGGGTCCTGGGGCTGGGGGGCAGCAGTGGGGGGTGTCTCACGAGTGGGTGAGGAAGGCAGCAGCCTAGAGCTGGGCCACAAGCCAAGGAGTCTGAAGGCCCAGAGGTGCCCCGGGGAAGCAGCGTGCGGCCTGTCTTCCTCTCCTCCCTGTCCAGCATCCCACCCGCATGGGCCCCCCCCAGTCTGGCAGTGCATGGGCCCCGCCTCCTCGCCCCATTCCCAGAGCTGCTTCTCATATGCGCTGTGTGGCTCCTCTCCCTCCTCCACCCCCATGTTGAAGGGGGTCTTGGCTCCGTCATCCAGTCCTACCATCTGGGACCCCAAGGTGGGCCGGTCCCAGCAGTTCCCCTGTATGCATGCCACTGCCCTCCTTCCTTGTTGGGAAACTTCTGCTAGGAGCTTGCCCCCCCCACCCCCCGTGTGACCACTCGCGCCTCCTCACTCCCTCGCCACCTGCTTGCCGGGATCAGTATACTTCTCAGTCGTTGTCCATACCTGTTCCAAAAAGATTCCTCAATGCTTTTCTTTTCAAAAGGGAAAAAAAAAGGAAAAAAAAAACAATGCCAACAGCCCAGCGCCCGTGAGCAACCCAACAGTAACAAAGCATGCGCTCGCGATGGAGGAAGGTAAGGCCACACTTCCCTTTGCCGCTTGCTACCAGGGCTGGGCTGCTGGGGTGACTCGAAGTGGGGAGGCTGTGTGCACCCCCTGATCCACCTCCACTGCCCATGCACACTCCTTTTCCAACTCTGGGCAGGAGGAGGAGGACAAAGGTTGGGCTGAAGGCAGGTGTCACAAAGTACCCAACAGACTGTCCCAGGAAAAGCCTGGTTTTCACTCTTGGCCACGGCATTCCCTCATCTCGTGAGCACTGGCTGCCTGCCCTGGGTTGGCACTGGGGACAGAGCAGTGAATAAGGCACAGGCCCTAGCCCAGTCCCAAGGGTTTGCCTCTACCTGGGAGACCCCTGTGGGCAAACAGTGTACTCCAGAGCATTAAAAGGCCACAGCGGGAGCCAGAGGGGACCCCCGTGGGCCCGGGAGGCACACAGTGGGGAGATAGCAGGCTCCATGGGCTGGAGAGCCTGTGGTGGGCCGATCAGCAGCCAGGAGAGGTGGGAGCAGACACCACAGCCCTTCATTCTGCGGATCCTCGGAGGCTGAGCACAGGTCATGGCAGCCCATCGCGTAGTGTGAAGGAGTTCGAGATCTTACCTGAGGGCTTTTAGGATTCAGGAAGTTTTTAAGCGGAGGGGAGACAGGATGGCGCTGGTGCTGAGCACGCAGCGCGTTGGCTGCAGCCTGAGGGATGGCTCGGACAGTGGCAGTCTGCCGGTCGGAGCCCTCCATGCATAGCCCTGCTGCCCACAGTAGGAAGCTCCTGACATCAGCCGGCTGGAAGGGATGAACTGACTTTGAAGCGGGACCAAGATGTGCGAGAGATAGGCAGCAGAGCCTCCATCACCCTGGGCAGTGGGCTTGCCCGCTTCCCGCCCACCCCAGACCTACCTGGTAAAGGGGAGCCATAGAGGTGCAAGAGTCCAGCGCTTGGCTGCTAACTGGACCCTCTGAGTGGCTCTGAGGGAGAAAGACCCGGCGCCCTGCTCCCATAAAGGTTACGGTTTAGAAACCCCCGCGGCACGGTTCTGCGCCACCCCATGGGTCCCTGTGAGACCATGTCAACTCAGCGGCCCCCACAACAACCGATGAAGAGAAACACGTGGGCAAGCCCCCCACAGAGCAGCAAATCCATCTTGTGAGCCCCTTGGCCGTCCCTGCAGTGTCACCTGATGGGCCTGGCGGGGCTAGCGCGCTACGGGTCCCATACTGGTCCTGGGCTGCAGGACCACGTCGATGTTTTACCTCAAGACCGCTGGGCCTGTCCCTCTGCTCTGGAAAAGGGACCCTCTTCCCCGGCCTAGGAGCCTTTCTTTCCTGCTCCTTCACCTGGGGCTTCTTCTCCCTTGGGCCTGCTGTCCAGGACCCAAGGAAGCTCCTGCCTTCCTTGCTCTGCAGTGTGTCTCTCCTGCCCTCCTGGCCCTGCTGTCAGCGCCCCCTAGTGCCGGGACAGCCCTGCGGGAGGCAAGGACCTCTGGGACCCAAGGAGGGCCTCTCACGGCCAACTTGGCTTGCTGGGGGCTGGGGACGGAGTGGCAGCGCTGTCTTGGAGCCTGAAGTTGGCATACAGATCTAGCATCTTTGCTTTGCTTTCCCGTTCTTTGATGGCACGGTGGCCTCTGCGCCCCAGTAGGGACAAGAAGAGCATGCCCAGCAGTCACCTTCCTTTCTTTACATCTCCAGAAAATGGTTAGTGTTCCCCAGGGTTGCAACCCCAAAGGGCAGCATCTCTTGAATGTCAGAGGCCGCCGGAACCAGCCTTCACCTCTGCCCATGATTCGCACATACCGGAACTACCGCCTGGCAGGGGCCTCAGGGTTGGCTCCAGAGACACACCCCACTTCCCTACCCTGTCCCCCCTGCCTGAGATTCCAAAGGAAGACGGTGCAGATGCCCCTCTCCCCCTCCCACCATCCAGTGCTGCCGCTCTTGCTACTGAGCAGCCCCCACATTTTGGGGTGGCTTGCAGAGGATGGGGGCCAGTGGTTAGGAGCTAAGGCTATGATACCTACTCCCTAACCAAAGCCAGCTGTGTCATGTGTATGGTGGCAGGGACGGGCCTGGGCACCAGTGCAGATGGCAGATAAAGACCTGAAGCAATACCGTGTTAAGTTCAACTGCCGAGCAGACCTTGACCTCCTCAAACGAGTGCTTTGCAGTCCTGAGGTGGGCAGTAAAGGCCCCCCAGTCACTGGCTGGCAGACCTTGGAGAAGGCTTGGCTGCAGGTCAGCACATCTAGAGACTCTTCGGGGAGGTGGGCACCCACATCTCCGAGCCCAGTAGGAGGGGTTGTGGAAGCATGTAAGTAAACTGGCCACCTGTAGAGCGCAAAGAAGTAATCCCTCTTGCCAGCACCCAGTTCGCTACCACCAAGTCCCCATCTGGGGGCCCAACATGGCAGGCAGTTAAGGTGCCCACCGCTGACAGAGATGGAACAACTTACTGTGTCCAAGATGGCCACACGGCTGGGCATCAGCCAGGGAGGGGTGGTAGAGGAGGTGGGACCCTCTCTGCTTGCTTTGTAGACATTCTGAGCATGTGCATTCTGAGGGGGCCTCCCGGAAACCTGAAGGTTAAGCGTGTAGGAGGCAGGAAGTGGTCCGGACAATCAGGGGCTCTCTCTGGACAGTAGGAGTCCCCTCAAACCAGGTCTTCCATTATGCAAGGAAAGAGGACCCCTGCCCAGGGGGTGCAGAGATGAGCCGAGGCCTGAGCAGCAGGCAGTGTGCAGGGGTGAGAACAAGTGAGCAAGCCAGGCTGGAGACTCCAGGGTGGGCTCAGGCAGGGACACTGCCGGCCTTCCCCTGCTCTGGCTTCCTCCTGCTGGGCTGACCCGGAGGTCCAAGGCAGGAGACCCCCCGGAGCTGGAGGAGTACGCCGCCTGAGCACCAATGTGTGAGTGGGTCTGGCCATGTGCCCTGTGCTGCCCACACACATCAGCTGGGCAGCCATGAACATGGCCTAAAGGGCCGCCCCCCAGTTTGGAGGACTGTGCTCTAACACCAGCCCCTCCAGCCAAGGGCTCTTCCCCTCCCGCTCTGAGCCGTCCCTGTGATGCTGCCGCCTGACCCATGTGGGGAGCAGGTGGGGAACCCCCTGCGGAAAGCTGAAAGTGGATCCAGATTGGTGTTCCCAGGCAGGCAGCCTGGCCAGGGTGTGCCTCCACCCTCCCGACCCCTTCTGACCAGCCCTGGCCTCTCCTTGTCTTGCAGAACTGCAGCGAGAGGGAAGCATCGAGACTCTGAGTAACAGCTCAGGTTCCACCAGCGGCAGCATCCCAAGAAACTTCGATGGCTACCGATCTCCGCTCCCCACCAATGAGAGTCAGCCCCTCAGCCTCTTCCCTACCAGCTTCCCATAGGCACCAGCCACCTGCTTCTGCCTGGCCAGCCCACTCCCTGCTGGAGGAAGGAAGAGGAGACGCCCCCTCTGGCCCCGCCCTCTAGGCTCAGCTCTCTCTCGTCAACCTTCCCCAAGCTTACCCTTCCTGATCTAGGAGACACCCTTTTCCCAAGCACCTCAGCACCCTTTGACTTGGGCTGAGGGGCTGTGGACAGGAGAGGCTCCAGGAGCCCAGCCCCCTCCACCATTTGCACATGACACTCTGCATTGGATCCGAGTTTGCATTTTCTAACCTACCCACAGGGGGCCTGGGACTGTGCCCAGATCTTGGGACCTGAATGGGGAGAGGGTGAATGGCCCCTGTGGGCATTCTGACCCTGAGCAGGACAGCCCAGCCCCGGCCACTTCAGGCTGTGACTCACTGCCCCCAGCTTCCCTTGGTCAGGCACCCTTCCCCATCATGGGGTGAACTGAGGCCCAGAGTATTAGGGAAGGAGGGAGGAGGGGGAAGCCTCCCCTTCCTCCTACCTTTCGCTTTCAGTTCACGGGAAACATTTTTGTCTGTCTTATCCCTAAACCCTTGTACTCTGGTCCTGTCCTGTTCAGTGAAGGAAACTGGTTACTGAGGCCCTGTCAAAAAGTGCACGTCTTGTCTAATAAATCACGCTGCGATTGGTGTCCATCCCTGAGTTGCTGGGGCCAAGGTCCTCCTCAGAGGTTGATCAGCGCTCCCTGTGGGCCCGACCACATGCCCCTCCCTGATCCCTCAGCACCACCACTTGAGCACCAGCAGGGCGTGGGCAGGCGCTGAGGGAAGGGGTGGTGTGGCTCTGCGAGCAGGGTCTGGTTCATGCCCTTCCTCCATTCTCCTTCCTGGCACCAGAACCAGTGAGCTCTGGGGCACCCTGGGCTCAGAGCCTCTCCAGATGTGGTCAAGGCCGGTCCTACCGAGGGGCTCGCTGGGAAGGCGAGCTGCACAAAGCCTCTGGCCCTATATTTGAGGCCCCTCTCTCCAAACCTAGAAGATGAGAGCGGGAGTCAGCTGAAAGTGGGTCTCATGAAGACTGGGTGACAAGCTCCTGTTCCCACTCCCAATTCTGGAGCCGGAGACGAGCAGAGGAGTGACCAGATGTGCGGCGCAGGGAGAGTCCTGCCTCCCCAGACAAGCCGAGTCTTTGGAGGATTGTTGGAAACCCACTGAGCCAAGTGTGGTTTGGGGTGATGTTTAATGTTACAGCCAAGAGTGGAGTTCACAATCAAGCCACTCCTCATTTGCCCCCCCCCCCAACTGTGCAGCTCCTGGAATGCCTGCCCCCTTCTCAAAAGCCCCTGGGCACCTGAGGAAAGGGTGAGTCTTCGGTCCCCTGCATCAGATCAGCTGAGCACACTGAGAGAAGAGGAGCCTTGGTCACACTAGGCTTTATAAGCAGCATACACAGCCAGGCCTAGGGTGGCCTAAGCCAGTCCCTCCTGCCTAGGAGCCTGTGGGCTAAGAAATCACATGCCAGAGTAAGGCATGCTGGGAAACCTCAGGAGGCCTGGGCACTACCAATTGAGTCCACTATAGGAGCCGCAGCTTTTCCTTATCTCTGCTGAACTGGAGACATCGGGGTGGCTACCATAGTCCTATCCTACCCCCTGCCAGAGCAGTGTGGTCATCTAAAGGGTGCCAGGCGAGTGCCACCAGGCCACTGTGCACTCTACCCATGGTCTGGCTCCCAGGGTATAGGTTGCCAACTCTGGAAAGGCAACCCCCTTTGAACCCACCTGAGGGCATGCGGATGGGGCAAAGACCTTGCTCTCAGGGGCTCTCTTCAGCTATGCCGGGAACCCACTGGCAGCTTTGCATCAGGAGTCCCGCCGGGCCCAGCCCTCTCCCTCCAGGAGGGCCGAACAGCTGTGGCCTCCTCCACTCAGGGAAAGTGGTGGGTGTCCGGCTGGCCGAGCTTGCAGGACAATCTGGTTATTCATCTGCTCACAGCCACACAACTCTTTGAGTATGTGGGGGGAGGGGAGGATGAGAGAGGCCAGATAAGCTGGCCCTGAGGTGGCGGCTGCTTCTAGCACTGGGGTTATCAGAGAGGCCCCGGGCCTGGCCCCCTGGCTAATTGGGAAGGTTATGGACCTGCCTGTAATCAGCTGGAAGTGAGAGCAGGGCCACCGGCTGGGGACCTTACTGCTCCCTGGGCCCGCAGCAGCCAGCCACGGTCCCCTGCAGATAACCTCCAGGGCCCTCCTCCACCTCGCCCCTCAGAGTGCGGCAGACCTCCCTGAGGGCGTCACCTAGATGGCCTACCAGATGACGGCAAGGAGTCACATGACCCTGCGGCTCCTCAAGGCTGCCTGCTATGTGGGCAAATCGCCATGGATGCTCCCTCAATTTTATGCAGGGAAAACAATCGCTTCCTGGGAACTGATGGGATCTGGAGCAGCAGCTCAGGAAGGAGGGGGCCTGTCTGAGGTTGATGTGAGGAAGGGCCTGGTGGTCCCACGGCTAGTCCAGGCACCCAACTCTCAGAGGACCCCCGTGTCAGCTCCTCTAGCAGTGGGCGCCACACCAGGCAGCTGGGGCCTGAGACTGGGGACAGTTTCTCACCAGGACTTCTAACCAGTTCAGTCTGGTCCCACCCCCTGCTAAGAACGGACATTTCCACGCTAGATGTACTGAATCCACATGGGCAATTTAGCAAGCTTCCCCAAGATGATTCTTATAGACCCCCCAGATGGGGCTTTTGTTAAAATATAGATTCCAAGTCAGAATATCCAGTTTAGGCATGAATTCACAGCAAGAGGGAAAACAAATGAACCTCCTGGGAAACCCTGATTTCCACAGAGGAGGCAATCTCTAAACGAGGTTTCTAAGAGGTTTTGCAGCTGGGAAGCCTGAGGCTCAGAGAAAGACAAGGCTGTGACCAAGGTTCCCAAGTCACACAGCTAATCTGTTGACCCTATCTGCACCTGGCTGCCTCCTTGTCCCAGCCATTCCCTTAGAAGGGACCAGAATCCAAGGTGTCCTGGGCTCCACACACCCCGGGATACTGATCCCATTCACCCAGCATCCCCTCCACAAGCCCCCTGCCTGAGCCCCTCACGTTCCTCTGTGACCCTGGCAGACCTAGAACTGGGAACAGTGGGGGGTGGGGGGCAGGGACAAAGGAAGAGGGCATCTTGAATGACTTGCATGTTGTGTTGAAGGACCAGGGGCAGGAAGCTGGATGGCAATAACCACCTTCTAAGCCTGGGTGGATTCAGGCTTGTTCTGTTTGACATTTCCGGGGTCCCCTCCCAATTCTACCACCACCACTTAATGTGGCTGTGGGTTCGTTATTGCCCCTCTGGGCTTCGGGCGTCTGAATCTGTCGACCGAGAGCAGGTGGACACCCCTGCCAGGTCAGGGATGTGAAGAATCTGCAGGTCGGAGCAGCGGGGAAGGGTGGTCCCAGGCGCAGACGCCAGCGGGCTGCTCGGTGGCTGGGAGAGAGATTGCGGGGGCAGCACCGCTGGCTCCTGGAGTGTGGCGCTGGGCCCTGCTCCGGAGGACCCCAGCCCCACTCCCTGCCAACAGGTTTCTGAAAGCGAATCCAGAGCCTGGTGGGAGCGCGGGCCCGGCCCCGCCCTCTCCTCTCCGGTGGACCGCTCCTTGGAGTCCTCGCACTTCCAACCTCGCCCTCAGGCCGCTCAGAAGCAAGCTGCCTTCACGCTCTCCAGACCCAGTCCCGATCCCTCGCCCGCCCACACACGCATCTCATCACTCTCGCCCCCCGCTGGGGTCCAGCGGTCCCAAAGTAGTGGAGATAATGGACTGACTCCCCAGGGTTACAGGACCCGCAGGGTTACATCCCCGCATGGGGGATGCGCCCTCGGCCTCCGCTGTCCAACGGTGGCTTCAGGCCCAGAATGACCCTGGAGGGTGGAAAGGAAAGGCAAGGCAAGGGAGGGGGACGCACAGTGGAAATAACCCTGCTGCGTCTGCCCTAGCGCATGGACCGGCCCGTCGCGGCCGGAAAGGGGTCTCACCGTCCCTCTCCCAGCCAGTTGGCCCGACCCTACCGGAGTAATTGGGGCCGAAAGGAGTAGACGGGAGGCGGCGGCTCCAGAGAGGCTGCGCGCCTGTCAGCTGCAATTTGTCTAAATGGCCGGGACAGCCGGGACCACTGTGGGCCGGGGTCACGGAGGCCGCGGCCCCCACCCCAGCCAGACCAGGGACAGCGGGGGAGCCTAGCTCGGCAGCTAACACGGGGCTGGCTGGCGCCAAGGCTCGGGACGGAGAAGCCGACCCAGCACCACTGTCTGCCCGCGGGGGTGCTTCTCCCGCCCCCAAACATACACGCAACCAGCCACGGCGGGAACGGACGCACGCAGTGGCACCCCTACAGCTGGTCACAGGCATGGGGGCGAACCTGTCACTGGAACTCGGTTTGGGCTCGCGCCTCACGTTAGGCAGCAGCCTCAAGTCGGCGCCACACGACCCGGGGCAGGTCCCCTTTGCCACATGTCCACGCACTCCGCGCGTTCCCGCCACCCACTCTAGGCGGGCGCACTCACGCCATGCCCAGTCCCACAGACCCGGACCCGGGCGGGAACCCCTGCGACTTGGAGGCGTAACCTGGGAAAGGTCCCAGCAGTGTTTCTCAGTTTAAGGGTCAAGGGACCGACGGGCCGCCCTGCCCGGCTAGGGACGGCGACCCTCCCAGGCGCAGATGGCCCCCCCTGTCCTTAGTAGTTGCCGGAAGCTGCGGGAGGGCTGGCGCGCCGAGGATCGGAGCCCCCAGGCCCAGGACGCCCACGACAGGGAGGGGCGGCAGAGCGCGCGTCCCCCGCCCGTCTGCCAGGCCGGGCCGATGCGAAGTGACAGGGGCCGGAGCTTTGTTGTAGAGCCTCGGCCTCCTGGCGCCAGCAGCCCCCGCCCAGGGCCTCCTCCCCGCAGCCCCCAGGCGGCCCGCGAGACGCCCCCCGGGGCCTCTTAAAGAGACACGCACTCTCGGCCCCAGAGGAGCCCCCCCCCAGGGGCGCTTGTTCCGAGGAAGGGGGAGGGAGACTAGGCCCACGTGGGGAGGGGCCGAGGGAAAGCTGGGCACCGGAAGGCGCCGCTCTGGGGTTGTCGCTCCGGGATTGCCTCGGCCTTCCCAGCGCAGGTTCTCCACGAACCCAAGATATTCCCTGCAGTAGACATTAGCTGGAGCGTCTGCAGGAGGACCTCAGGATGGTTTCGGGGTGACAGTAGGAACTGGGGTCCCTCGCGGGCGAGCTGGAGTACCTCAAGGGCAACCTGGGAACTGCGCTAAGCGCCTGGAAAGAGCCAGTGGCCACATTAGTATAGGGCTCGGTGGCCTTGGTTAGGTGGAATCTGCCCCGAAGCGCCCCTACTACTACACCGTCTCAGGCGGGTTTCTTAGGCGTTCTCCCAGCCTGGGACCCCAGAACCAACCGCATCGCATACAGATCTTCCTCAGGAAAAATGTTCAAAATGCACATCCTAAGTGAACACATATCCTTACAAGTACCGAGAGTGTACACACACACACAGAAACACGCACACGCACACACACACACACACACACACACATACATACACTGCAAAAGCATCAATGGATTCTCAGGCCCATACTCGATTCTCAGCTAAGGAGCGCTATCCTGAACGCTATCTGGGCACCTCACCCGACTTAGCCAACGGGTAGACACACACCTTTCTCCCCAAGGACCACAGCCACCTAAGGTGAAAGGGTAGGACTTTGCCTGGCAAAATTTGCAACGGATCCTGTTCTGGCTGCGTAGACTGCGCAGCTTGGAGTTGAGGGTTCGTTCTGGGCGGAGACTAACTAGAGCGAGGGCTAGAAGCAAACGCTGGGGGCGGCGCCCACTGGCACACCACGTCCGGGAGTTGCCAGAGCGCCCGGCCGGCTCGGCAAAGTAGATGAAAGGTCGAAGCCACACCGCTCTCTCGCCTGGGCCCTCACCCTCCGGGGCGATCCTGAAGTTTACTTGTCAAATCCAAGCGCTCAGGTCCTCTGCGACCCGGGTGCGCAGCCGCCGGTCTGGGTCACTGCTCGATGTGAGCAGTGTGCGCCCACCACGCAGACACCGGACCTGCGCCGGCCGAACTCACCCGCACTTGTATTCGTTGAAAGAACGGGGTGTCACCCGTGGCTAGAGCACAGTCTGCCTTGTCCTTCCGAACGTGACAAAGGAGGCACCGCCAAGTGTCGGCCGATTGGAGGCAGGTCTGTGACCGTCCCACTGGCCTGGCGCAGGCCTTGGGGGGCACCCCACTGGGCGCAAATTCCCCTGTCTCTTTATCATTCCCTCAATGTCACTGTCACACAGGAAAGCGCGCCTGCAAACGCGCAAGCTATTGGGGGTGATCTGAGGACGCAGGTCCTCAGGGGAGGAGAGTAGGGGGTCTCCACCACAGGTGCGCTCAGACACGCGGAGCCCCACAAGGTCACCAGCGCGGGAGAACCTGGGAGACAAGCGTTTCCGACAGCCGGAAATAAACTCTAGGAAAGTAGCGGCGAGAGGAAAAGGGCGGCGGCCAGAAAGGCCTTAGACGAAGGTAGACTTGCGTCTCTCGTACCGGATGCGGCGAAAATTCGTTTGGTCGCGGGTCGGAGAGACCGAGGGTTGCAATGGACCCGAGCTGCGCTGCCCTGTCCTTCGCGGAAGGCGCGCCCACCCTCCTAGCCTCGGAGACCTGCGCTCCAGCCGGGGAGGGAGACGGCCACTCGGCCAGCCGAGTCCAGGGACTGCCTGCCCGAGACTCAGGCTCCTCCTGAGGGGAGGCACGGGCTAGGGGAGGGGGTCTCCAAGTCTCCCGAGCGCAAGGCCACGTCCCGCTCCCGCTCGCGCCGGCCCGGGCAGGGCTGGGCTCTGGCTCCACTCACCGGCTCCCGCCACCTGGGTTCCGCTCCGGGACCGCGCAGCCTGCGCCAACCGACTCGCCCGCGCATCGGTCTCGCTTTCCCGCGCCAGCCACGTTCTGCCCGAGCGCAGGGGCCCCAGGAGGCGCAGAGGCCGGGAGCGGGGTCGGAGGCCAGGCTGGGGCTCGGGCCGGAGCGGCCGGGGCGCGGGAGAAGGAGAGCACCCCTCTCCGCTCAGGGCCGTGTCAATGCTTTGTACGTGGGCCGGCGTGCAGCTGGGGGTCCTTTCCAAAGGCCTCGGGCCCAGGGCGCCCCCAGCATCAGGCCCTTTCGGCGGCTCGGGCCGGCGCGCTGCGCGCTCCTGTCCCTGCTGGGGCGGCCGCGGGCGCCGGCGGCGGGGTGGGGGCCGGGGCAAGGGGGAGGGGTCTCAGGGCCTGCCGGCCCGTCATTGGTTAATATTTTATTCTGTTGACATGTTTTCTTACTGCTGAGGCTTCCGACACCTTCTCCCCGGCCCCCCCTCCGGGCCGGAGCTTGGCCGGAGCTGTCAAAACCCCGCCCCCGGAGACCCACAATTGGTCCAAAAAGCGTAAAATCAGCAATCAAGGGGGGCCTGGCTCGTTAGCGCAGGGGATCCGAG